ATAAAAATTAATTCTGCAAGGTTTCACCAAAATTTCAAACTTTTTAACTAGGATCTTTAGAAAAAAATTTGGTTTGCAGTTTTGTAACTCATTAAAATTGAGTATTATAAAGTGCGAGTGGAAAGGGCTGCTGATTTGCTTCTCTTTTAAAAAAATGGTCGAACTTACTTACTTTGTATGAAAAAAAATGCGTAACCGTCAACAAAAAAAAAAAATTGGGAAAAATTATTGGTAAGCCTTAGCAACTTAAAATTGCACTTTATTATACTAAAATGTAATGATTTTTTTTCATTGAAGAAGGCTTTAAGATCTGTAAGCTGTTGTGGAACAAATTTGCAAAATTATTTTTTGTCCCGTATTCGGCTCTCATAAATATGGTCACCGTATATATAACGTATTGAAACTTATTTAGCCAAATAAAACTACTGCAGCAATGCTAGCTTATACTACAAAAACAAGTTCTGTATATTGTTTAAAATACATACATGCATATGTGGACCAATTTTTGCACCAATTGCTTTTTATCGTCACCCAAAAATCTGTAGTATTAACATAGATTAGCCGAGCTTCCCCTCTTATTTGTGGCGTGCGTCTTGATGTTGTCCCACAAATAAATTTTTTTTATCTCCAAGAAAAAGTTACCAAATTCAACAAAAAAATACCAAATTTATTTTGTGTGCAGAACTGTACTCAAGCTCGTACAAATGTACATATATCCGAGCCACCAAGTTTTACATGTCTTCAGCGATAATTTTTATATCTGCGTGAACAAGGGAAGGCATCTAATCCATTAGATTGTCATGGCTAATTATTTCTTGTGTAGGGGATGTTATTTGGCCACCGAAATTATCTGAATTGACACCGTTTGACTTTTTAAGAGGCTACTCTTACGGCTGTATTTATGCGAATAAATTTTGGAGCAAAAAATCAACGATTGAAGGCAGTCCTGAAAGTTTTAGACTCGCTCAAAAACCAAGTGAAGTCCCTGCCATAGCCTTTTAAACGAGAACACATGGGCCTCTTCCTAATGTAGAAACAGAACGAGCCTATATGGACTTAGGCGAGAGAAAGATCTACTCTACTGAACAAACATGTAGGACCGAATCGGAAAAGTTACCAAATTGAAAAAGAAATTACCAAATTTTATAATAAAAGAAAAAAATTACCAATTTTGGTTAAAAATTACCAAAGCGGCAAC